ACTCGGTGGAGCGATTTTAATCGGCGCAAGAGTGTCAGGTACCAGCTTTCTAATTGAGCGTTTTTGCGTAAAAACAGGCTAGTACAATAAGTGCATGGGCGTTTATTTATTTATTAGTTTGTGGCTTGCAAAAATATAAAATAAAAATAGTACGTCTTGATATGCACCGTTAGGTTTGTACAAAAGCAATCAAAGAAGACGCTATCGGGAGAGTTAGCATCAATTGGGTTAATCCACAACAAACAATNGCGTGGAGTTTCGTATTGTTAGATAGCATGAGTTCAAAATCTTGAGAACAAAAGACAAAAAGAACAAATAACGACATGATTGATCATCGCAGTAATACACACAACTTAATTAAGAGTTGCAAAATTAAAGTCTGAAAAAAATTCAGGCTTGAACGGGATTCGAACCCCTGACCTCTGCGATACCGGTGCAATGCTCTCAAGCCAAGTGGGAGCTGGTCACGTTGAGTTCCTTGTGAGTTATTGTACGGCTACATCACATGCAAACTTCATCTTCCCTTCTCTCATATCACTTCAGTGCCAATAATACACACTCGGCGAAATGGCTGAAAGCCACACTCAAGAATTTTATTCAAACTTAGTGGTGCACATCTCTCTACATGGTAAAATTGATGGCGTTAAATTGTTAGTTCACGTACCATTATCAATTTCAAAAAAGGCCAGACGACAAAATAAGTAAAAAGCATGAAAATACCTCCCAGCAAGTTTTGCAGTTTTGCTCTGCTTTTCATCGTTTTAAAGAAATAACTAGTAATCATAAGGAAAATATATAACTATATATAAAATGAAATCTCAAAGAGTGAAGGAAGGAAAAGTAATCAGAAGTTACTACGAGATAGTACTGCTGCCTTACTTATAATGGAGACATTTTGTCTGTTTAGTGTCCTAAGGACTCTTGATAGAGGATAGAAGTTCAACAACAAATGATAAATTCATGGTTAAACTATTATTGTAATTTGTATCTACCCAAATATATATTATTGATCAAATCAAACAGTTTGTATTATATTAGAGCAGTCATTTCAACTAAATTAGGCTTAACTTTATTTAGCCAGTGTACGTTTTTTAGACATTTTTAATAAGTAATGTTTCAATTCTCTGGCAAATCTTTTGTCATTCACTTCCCTGCTTCACTCTGTCTTGTCATCTTTCACTATGCAGTGTGTGAAGTCAGAGGTAACAGACGAGTGATTTCACAGGCGATAAAAATAGCCTTCTGGCGCATTTGTCTTATTATGCAAGTATACAAACTTATTTTATTGTGCACTGATGCTATGTAGTGCCAAAACCTTTTGCTGATAACTCAGTTTTCATTATATTAAACTGTCAATTGGCAGCAGAGAAGGGAGCACAGAGTCCACTCGGTTACACCAGAAGTTTGCGCAGGTACTGTGATACTGTCGGCCACCATACACGAGTTTTCCATCAGCCTGTTTTGATGGCCCTGGTGTACTCTTGTCGACGTTCAACAGACAAATTCCGCAAGCTACACTACCATCTTCAGTGGCTGAGACGTGATGTGTCGTGAAGTCCAGACTTCTCTGTGATGGCTAATAAATGACAAGGGGAGGAAGACAGAAATAATTAAGTTTGTCCGGAGTTACAGACCAAGCGTACATAGATCTGGGTCCTGGGGCAACCTCAGAAATATGGTAAGAGGTGACCTGTGATGGACTGAAGAATCTCTCAAAGGGGGTTAGGATGTTTGAGCTAATACTGTAATTATTATTTGTAAGTAATGCTGCAGTGTCGTGCACCGTCACGCATCGAGTGTACGTGCACAACTGTAATAGTACTAGTGGGAAATACTATGACTATGCATGGATTTGAAGATTTTGGACGTTTGATGACCCCGGTATTTTCTTTTGAAAGTAACTTCCCCTTTCTGTTTCCCCAAATTTTGTGAACAAAGAAAAACTCATTATAACTGAGGACAGGAAAATTTAAAGCAAAAGTTTCTGGAGAAAGACATTTTTAAACACGGGCTCTGGTGGTTATAAAAACCAAGTTTGTGTCTTCAATTTAGACATTAAACTTACCAAAATAGTTGATCCAGACAGAAAATTTGCAATGTTCTTCCATGTGCTCTCTATTTCTTGTTGGATATCTTTGAGTTTTGTATTATTTGGTGCTGGAAAGGGAGAAAGTGTAAAATAATAAATATTTGAGCAAAATGTCAGATATTTGAAAGATGACAACTCACAAGACATGACCATTTCAGTTGCTAGTAATGAAGTGTAATGACTAACATTAATTATGGATTAAACTGTTCCTAAGCCATAACTGGGAAGTCTATTTAAGTTATACCAATTATATAATTTATTAATTGTGTGGGTGCGAATACAATTATTAAGGGCCCGACTTTCAGGAAAAAACCTTGGGGCCAGCTAGCCCTAAGTATTCAGATTTAGTCTCCAGCAAAAGTATTTCAGTGAAAAGCGTGGAAGTTTGTATCCAACGAAAAAAAAATTGGTGGCATTGGCGACCCCAGCGGTTGCAACGTCGAGCTCTGACAATATGAGTGATATTTGAAAATTCGCTCAAACTCCACATTTAATAAAAATCAGATCAAAAAGTTCTCTTGGCTTTCTTCCAAACAGCTTGTTTCAGAACCACAAAGACCACTTCTACTAGTAATACTCAAGTCCTGTACTGACCATAGCATACCTGATTTAGTGAAGGATGCTCTTATCCTTAGAGTAACTCTGTATATTTCCACTATGGCTAAAAGACGCAACATGGCACAACTGGATTAGCAATCCTTCAGGCCTCTGATTGGCAGCGAGGCTGGAGGTGACCTTGTTTTGATACAGACCTCACTGCTTTTGTTGTGTAAATCAAGTTGTTCTTATGCTAACTACTTAAAAATGAGAAAAGCAGAGAGGTGACTGTATCAAAGCAAGGTCACCTCCAGCCTCGCTTGCATTCAAAGGCCAAGTAACTGAGCACACAACTGTAAAATGGCCTATTGGTTCTTCTCATACCCTGGCTCACTCTGTAGCAGGTAAGGTCAGCTTAGTAGACATTACAAGTTCACACATACCTGAAAAATACGTAGCTCCTTCCTTGGATTCGAGGACTTCGTCCTTCACAGATTGCTCACCCATTTTCTGGATGGCCAACGTAGCTGTTGCTAAAGTTAAAAGGCAACTGTTAAGGCAACGGCTCCAAGCGTTTGCATGTTGATCCATGTCCTGAAGAAACAATTAATGGGCAATCTGTTTACATGCTATGGCCATTTCAATAACTCTTTGAAGTACGTAGGGGAGAGATTTAAGAGAGGAGAAGGAAAACAGGAGCAGGAAGAAAGAAGGCAGAGAAGGAGGAAGAAAAGGAGGAGAAGGAAAACTGAAGAAGAAGATTAACTAACTCTAAAATGGAATAAGCTCAACGTTATGTCCGTGACTGTGTCGAGTTGCTACACGAACTCGCACTATATGCCAAAATACAGCAGTATGACTGGTTACAATTCATTCCGTTGCCCTTTATATTAAACCTTATTTCCGGCCTTTTGAAACATTTTTCCTAGCAAAAATATACCTCAGTTTAGAATGTTTAACGCTTTTAGGTTTTAATGTTACTAGAATTGTTTTAATGTAACCGCTTTACTAAAGACGCAGGCAGTATTTCGACAGCGTTCAAACTCAACGTATTGCAACAATTACAATATGTTACAGTTGTTTTCCTTGGTATTAAACCCAGCAGAGTCCAATAGTGTGACTGGATAATCCTGCAATGAGGCGTTGCGTGGCTTTGGCCTTCAAGCTATCTGTTATATGAATGTTTGGAGCTATCTGTTACTAGAATTCTCTAATGTTGTATGTTCGGAAGGAAAACAAGAACGATTCGAGAAACGTTTTGAGTCAACGTCGACTAATATTGTGTGATTTTTTTTTTATAAATTAAAAATTACATTGTTCCATATGCTCAAGTTTTTCTACCTATCAAGAGTTTTTCAAATATTATTTCAATAAACTTTGCTTCCAGCTATCGCAAAATATAACGTAAAGCGATGAAATAACGCGGGTGATTTGGCATAAAAAGGGCAAGACTGGTCCATCATCTCTCTTTTGTGACCTATCTTTTTTACTGTATTTTTTGAAGCAGTACTTGGTAGAGAACATTCAGAGAAAGTTAACATACACTTGCATACACGGCAACAATGATTCTCTCAACTATCTAGGAACCATGAAAGATTCGCGTTGAATAAAAATTTCCACGTGCAACAAGCTGTCATATTTGTTTACATTTTCCTCTCTGTTGGTTGGTTATTTGATACTTAGCGCGTGACGAGTTGACACCTATTAAAGGCCCCGCGGTCCTCACTACGCCGGAGAAATTTGAAAACGCAACAATCATCGGTCACTTTGGATTTGTGTTTAATTAAAATCTCATGATGAGCGTGACGTCATCGTTTTTGAAAAGCTCTGTTTTCAAAATGTTTTCCGTCCACACTAAAATACAAAGCTTCCATGTAGCCTATCAAACAGGGGGAAAAAACTTGCACACTTAAACTTGGCAGAATTCTCAACTCATGCAAATTAATCAAACCGCCACACCTTGTAATATATTATATAAGAGAGATAACCTGACAACGAATCACATCAATCAAGGTTTAATCCGACTAACTTGATACAAAAGATGAACGCATTACAAATACTATTTCTCACACAAACAGGTGTTTAATTTACTGAAAAGACACCACCCGTATTTGGCGTATTTCCCGAGTATTTTCTCGCTTTTCACGTTTATTTGTGGAAACAGTCAGTTTCTTTATTTAGTAAAAAGAAAATGACACGGTGGTTTTAAGATATCAATTTCATTTTCGAGTCGTAAAAACAGTATTTTCTGAACGAGCGCCACATGGGTAGCTACAGGTGTCAATACAAGCGTCAGATATCTTGCTCGCTGCGCTCGTTCGTAAAATATTGTTTTTATAACTCGAAAATGAAATTTATATCTTCGTGACTTCGGGTAATATCCTCTCTATATCACACCGGTCGGTATAGTATAAATTACATAGTCGTTACAGGATATGAGCGTGCGCACAAAGAATGTTTAGCAAATTAACATATTACCGAACGTTTTGATATCTTGTTTATTCCTTGAGGTAAGCATTTAAGACCCGAGACAACCGTTAATACTTCATCATTCTTGACCGAGGTAGAGGTATGTGGACTAAATCTCACGTTACTAAGTGTTACAATTACGCTATAATATTCGAGCCGAGAATTAGTCTGTACAACAAGAAAGTGGCATTTTTGGTTTTCGTTTTAATTTCTTTGTTCGGCGTCTGTTGAACTGACTGCAGCGTAGAAATTCTGCCACGATATATAACTTCCTAAAACTGATCGCAGTTGAGAGTATTCACGTGTGAAGTGAATTATAGCTATATCGAAGCTTCTTGTGTAGCAAACATTTTAACATTGTCAACGGAAAAGCAGGAAGTCTGAATTTATACTTCGTACCCGAAATAAACAATTCGCCAGCAACGTAATAAAGAGCTATTAGAGAGTTAAAGAAAGCCGCGACGGCAACGGCAACGGGAACGTCGCTAAG